CCACAGCCGAACCCAGGGCTCCGACAGGAGGGCAGCCTCTTCCCCACGGCCCTCTTCTCCTCCAGCAGAAAACGAGGGACTCGGGGACCTGCACGGCTCACTCCGCTGGGTCAGGGGCACAACTGGGATTTCCGTTAAGACCGTCCCTATTTATTCTAACCCCCACTGTTTAAAAAATAAAGTCATTAAAAAAACATGTCATGGGCCGGGGATTTATCTCAGCGGTTCCGCCACCTGCCTAGCAAGTGCAAGGTGCAAGGTCCCGAATTTGATCCCGGGCACAAAACAAACAAACAAAAAACCCTAAACAAAACAAAAACTATGTCACATACACACTCCTAGCTCCAGTTTTACTTGTATTTACTTTTTTTTTTCATTTTTAATTTTTTGTTCTTGTTTGAGACAAGGTTTCAAATGCAGCCCATGTTGGCCTTGAACTTTTAGTTGTCCTGCCTTAGTCTCCTGAGGTGGGATTACAGGCGTGTGCTACCACATACAGCTTGTTGGTTTTAAGCTCTGAAATATTAAAATTGCATATTATAATCACCAGATATAGCAAACTAGTAGGTGACTTAAAAAAGAACAAATTACCCAAGATTTGTGTGTGTGTGTGTGTGTGTGTGTGTGCAGCACTGGGATCAAATTCCAGGGGTGCTCTACTGCTAAATTACATCCTTAGTCCATTTTATTCTTTTTATCTTGAGACAAGGTCTTACTAAATTGCCCAGGATAGCTTAAACATGAGATCCTCCTGCCTCAGCCTTCCTCAGTACTGAGAATACAGGCACGCACCACTGCAGTACTGCTTACTTGGTATTTGACAACTGTTTTTAAAGTACATTATTTCTTGGAATTCTGTAATAACTATTCCTGTACTTTGTGCATGCAGTAGTGAACATTAGTGTGTCAAAACTGTCCTTTTATCCTTACTCAGAAAGATTTTGAATACATTCTATACAAAATATATACTCTATATTCCAAGTAGGTGCATAAGTATTCTGTATAAAAGAGCATGACTAAGTCATGAAGAGACTTAACCACATTCTGACAAGTCTTCTAAATGTATCTATTATACCTTTGAAACCGCTATATAAAATGTTTAAGGAGAGCTAGGCGTGATGGCGCCCTGCAATCCTAGCACTCGGGAGGCTGAGGCAGGATGATTGCTGAGTTCGAGACCAGCCTGGGCCACATAGTGAGTTCCAAGTCAGTCTTAACTACATAGTGAGACCCTGTCTCAAAAAACAAAACAAAACAACACAAAAAATAAATGAAATAAAATAAAATGTTCAAGGAATATGGTACAGCTGGGTTCATCTAGAAGAGCTGCCAGCAGGGACCCTGCAACAGGCTGGGGGACCTGGTGCAGATTTAAGGTGAGAACGTGTGCAAGGGCTGAGTCTTCCCAGAGAATCATGAAAAGAAAATACCACAGAGGGAAACGAAGACTGGAAGCTACTGAAGAGTGTCCAGTTTGAGGCTTTCCAATAGCAAAGGAAACTCTGTCCTTTCTTCGAACGACTCCTTGCTCCAGAAAGATGACAGGAGCTGGGTGTAGTAGCACACACCTGTAATCCCAGCACTCGGGAGGCTGAGGCAGGAGGATCGCTGTGAGTTGGAGACCAGCCTGGGCCTCATAGTGAGTTCAGGGTCAGCCTGAACCACAAAGGGAAGCCCTGTCTCAAAACAAAACAAAGACGGTGGGAGGAACTGGAGGAAAAAGGGAGGGTGGGGGAAGAGCATCACAGACTTCAGTTCCACTGCACCTTCAGCAGCAGCCTGGGGCCAGAGTGGCTCAGAAGAGATCTCAGGAGCCTGGGAAAGCACCAGTTTGCCAGAAGATGGGGATAAAACGGGCAACAGCTAAACAGTACAGCAAGATCTATGTTTTGGCAGACTTCTTTCTTCTTCAAAAGTTATTAATGGTATTGAGCCGGGCGTGGTGGCGCACACCTGTAATCCCAGCACTTGGGAGGCTGAGGCAGGAGGATCACCACAAACTGAAAGGCAGCCTGGGCTACATAGTGAGTTCTAAGTCCAGACTACATAGTGAGACACTGTTTCAAAAAACAAACAAACAAAAAACAAAAACACTAAAAAAAAAAACAAAAAAACCCATAAAAGTTATATTGGTATTTACTCAAAATTAAAATGTGCTGGTTTAAGATAACGATTTTAATTTTATTTTTAGAATCTGTAAATGGCTTTTCAGCATATACAGACCATCTTATTTTTAGAAAAAAGAGAAAAATATGTCTATGTATAGAAAAAAATGGAAAGTTTATATCCAATGTTAGCAGATTATCCCTTAGTAGACAGAAATCTCCGCCTCCTCCTTTTTTTTCCCCCTTTTTTGCAGTGCTGGGGATTGAACCAAGGGCCTTGCACATGCTAGGCAAGCGCTGTATCACTGAGATACATACAACCCCAGACCTTTTTACTTTGAGACACGTTCTTGCTAAACTGTTCAGGCTGGCCTCAAACTTGCAATCCTCCTGCCTTAGCAGGGGAGTACCTGGAATTACAGGTATTTGCCATCACGCCTGGCTCCAAAGTTTTTTGTTTGTTCTATTTGTTTTTATTTTTGTGGTACTAGAGATTGAACTGGTCTTTGCACTGTCACATCTCTAGCTCTTTTTAAATTTTTAATATTTTGAGACAGGGTATCGCTAAATTGCTAGGTTACCCAGGCTGAGCAAGTGAATCTCCTGCCTCAGCCGCTCAGAGTGTGGGATTACAGGTGTGCACCACCATGCCTGGATCAGAAGGTTTATTCTTTATTTCGGTACCCGGGATTGAACTTGGGACCTTGCGCTTAAGAGGCAGGCAGCAGAACCACTGAGCTAAAATCCCCCAGCCCAAAAAAGTTTATTCTTTTAGGCTGGGTGTGGTGGAGCAGGCTTGCTATCTCAGCACTCAGGAGGCTGAGGCAGGAGGACTGCTGCGAGTCTGAGGCCAGCCTGAACTGCACAGCAAAACCCTGTCTCAAAAAGGCCCCCCCAAAAAGTTTTATTCTTTTAATGTTTATCTAAATTTTCCATAACAGGAAGTACTTAGCATGTGAGTGGTCCCAGCACCCAAAATACAAACAGGCAAATAAATTTTTCATAATAAATACATATTTGTAATTAAACTAAGAGTTATTTAAAAGGAAAACATACTTTTGAAAAGCAGAAATAAAGAATAGAAGTTCATAGTCACTACATAAAAACCTTACTTGGTCTTAGCCCAAGCACCCAGTCTGGATCACGTGCCTGAAGCGGAGGACTCAAAAGTACAGGGAGGAAGTCGGGAGCGATGAATAAGCTGATGCAGGAAGCTGCAAAACTCACACCAAAATCCCGTCTGGGTTCCTGATGAGAAGGGACTAACAGCAGGGCAGCTCAACGCAATGGGCGACCCCAGTTGGGGAGAGGAGGCAGCATGAGGGATACTGATGCGGAACTGGGAAAAACTGATTATTACCTATATAATCGTCTCACATGAAATTTCCTGAAATCAATCATTGTGAAATACAGGCAAGGGCTCCACAACTCAATCTCAACTGAGGAGAAGACGCGGAAGTTAATAAAGTGAGAAGCGGCAAAATGTTAAGAATCTGGAGCAGTGATGGGTAGGAAGATTGTGGGTTCAAGGCCAGCCTGTGCTACGCAGTGAGACCGTCTCAGAAAACAAAACCAAACGAAAACGTTTGGTGTGGTACATAGGAGAATTTGTCACACTATTTCTGTAGTTCTTATATTTCAAAACAGCAAGTTCTCAAGCCTCCCTAATCCTAGCTGTAGTTCAGCATGAAGACATCCCATGTACAGAAATTCTGCTCAGTGTGGTGGTTTAGGCCTGTAATGCCAGCACTCAGGAGGCTGAGGCAGGAAGACAGTCCAGTGTGAACTACAAAATGAGTTCAAGGCCAGCCTGGGCTATACAGCAAGGCCCTGCTCATCTCACACACACACACACACACACACACACACACACACACACACACACACACACACACACACACCCGTTATCCCAGCACTGTGGGATGTTGAGGAAGAAGGCGAATTGCAAGTTCAAGCCCAGACTGGGCAATTTAGCAAGATCTTATACCAAAAGACAAAAATAAAGGACTGGAGGTGTAGCTCAGTGCAAAGGCCCTGGGTTGAATCCCTAGAACCAGAAAAAAAAGTTGGATTGTAACCAAACGGACACCATTGAAAAGCCCTCGACTTGTGAACTTAGGCTGTAAGTGAAAGGACGGATCTTTCAGAAATCAGAACAATTTAAAATAGGCATCTGATGCTCCAATGAGAAGCTACAGACCTCTCGCTAGCTTCCAACCCCAGCTCTGGGGGAGACTCTACTCCTACCCCAGCAGTACTACTCCTACAATAGGGCAAAGAATACCTAGGAGGCGCTGTCCCTTCAGTGCTGTATACAGATTTGAGTCTCTCTCCCGGGCGGAGCACTCAGCCTTGTTCTACACGGTCACCAGCAGAGGGCGCTGCACACCCAGCCAATGGACGCACGAGCGCCCAAGCGCTAGAAGGTGGAAACAGGTGGAAACGGCTGAATCGCCCCGCTGAGTGTGCAATGACTGGACCATAGCTCTCTCGTGTCATGATCTGACTACTTTCCTGTATTCCCCCATCGACTTATCTTCTGTGTGCAGTCCCACACCGCGCCGGACACAAAGCAGCGCTTGGCAAATAGGAACTGTAGCTGCTATTTCTGGCACTCAACAAATGAGTATTCACCGGAAGCGGCCAGATGTTGGCCTCGCTGGGGCACTTTTGCCTCTCAGGCCAGTAGACACTGTTTTTTCCTTCACAACGCCCTTTCTTCTCGAGACACCTTCAAATGAGGTCCTGAGAAACCACCCTCCGTCTGCAGCCTCCCCTGCCCCATCCCTTCTGCATCCCAAAGCATCGGCCTTGCTGCAGGCGGGCCTCAGACTGCCGCCCACCCCCTTCCAGGGAGGCTTCCGGGACCCTAGCCCAGACCCCCAGGAAACTCACACTCCGGCTGGTACCAGCGGCTGGAATCGCCACTGCTCCTCCTCATAGTCCAGGAAGAGCCGGTTCATGATCTTGTTCTTCTCCTCAGGGGGGATGAAGTTCTCGATGATCAGGTACCTGGAACAGCAACGGCCAAGGGGGGTGGAGGGAGGGAGAGACCCCACGGCTTAGGGAAAGGCGGAGGGGTAGAAGCAGCCCAGAACGTCGGGGGAAGAGGTCCCTGTAGAGAAACTGGAGCTAGAAAACCACTGCCTTTGGCTACTTTGGGGGGGGTACCGGGGATTGGGGATTGAACTTGGGTCCTTGCACTTGAGGCAGGCGGTGGAACCACTGAGCTAAATCCTCGGCCCATTCCTCAGACCCATTTTATCCCTAAGACCTAGGGGTTCCCGGAGGAGCAGCGGGCCCTACTTGAGCTTGAGTTCGCGGGTCTGCTCGTTCTGCGCCTCCTCCAGGTCCTGCCGCACGCGGATGTACTCGTCGTGTTGGTCCTGGATCTCCGCCTTCACCGCCTGCAGCTTGGCGTAGAGCTGGGTGGGACAGGGCCAGCTCAGAGGCTGCTGGGTCACCAGCCTGGGCCCACAGGCTCAGCCCAGGGTGGGTCTGGGGGTCCCGGCCTGGAACTCCCCAGTGCTGCCCCCAGGACTGAACCGGAGAGCCAGGTAAAGGGCTAGGCGGAGGCCTGCGCTCTCTCGCTGGCATCAACAAAGCTGCCCAGGTGCTCAAAGCAGGCGGGGCCACACCCTGTTTCTACAGATGAGGAGGCCGAGACACAGGCCAGCAATAAGGTCACACAGCTACTCCGAAGCAGGGCGAGAGCTGGGGCTCCAGCCTCACGCGGAGACCCAGAGTGGGGTTGGAGGACCACTGCAGGGGAAGGTGACCTGCCCCACGGCTGCCTTTTCCGGGTTCTCAGAGCGGGGCTGTGGAGGTCAGTACTGGGCTGCTGGTCCACTCCTAACCCGCTGACTGCCAGCGTGGCCAGTCCCAGGGAGCCACATCGGGTCCGCCCTATCAGAGCTGGAATTCGCTGCCTCCGCAGCAAACCTCCTCTAGTGGATGTGTCTTTCCCCTCCATGGGCTGCAGGGTCCTGGTGACCAGAGATTCTTGTCCCTCGACACGGTGGAGGGCCTTGTTCTCTTCCTGGGCTTCCCCACGCTTGAGTCTCTTTCTCAGGCCTCCCTGCACTCCCTGGCCCTCCTCTGAACCTGCTATCAGGACCGTGACTCATGGGTGACATCAGAAGCAGGGGGAGGAACGCTCAGGACCATGACAGTGGCATCGGAAGTGACAGCTTCCAGCCCAAGAGAAAGGCTCAGTTCTTAAGAGACAACCTACAATGTGGGAAAAAATTTTACCAGCTGCTCCTCAGACAAAGGACTATTATCTAGAACATATAAAGAACTCAAAACAATCAGTCCCCCCAAATAGAAAGACCCGATTAAAAAATGGCCATCCGAAATGAACAGACATTTCTCAGACAAAGAAATAAAAGCAGCAAGTAAATATATGAAAAAATGTTCCACATCACTGGTCATTTGAGAGACGCAGATGAAAACAACACTGAGATTCCACCTCACCCCAGAAAGAATGGCTGCTATCAAGAAATCGCACAATAACAAATGTTGGCAGGGTTGTGGGGAGAAAGGAGCCCTTCTCCATTGTTGGTGGGAGTGCAGACTGGTGCAACCACTATGGAAATCAATATGGAGATACCTCAAAGAGCTGGGACTGGAGGTTCCATCTGACCCAGCCATCCCTCTGCTGGGTATCTTTCCAAAAGAACTAAAAGAATCATAGCACAGTGATGTATGCACACCTATGTTTATAGCAGCACAGTTTGTAATAGCTAAAACTTGGAAACAGCCCATTTGCCCATCCGTTGGAAACCGGATAAAGAAGATGTGGTTTTTCTATAAAATGGAATATTACTCAGCCATAAAGAATGAGAAATTAGATTCATTCATAGGAAAATGGATACATATTGAGGATATATTCCTAAGTGAAATAAATAAGTCACACATGTGTAAATACCAAATAGTTTCTCTGGTGTGAAAAACTATAATAGTACATAAGATCCTAATGATATAACTGACCATGTGAAATAGGAAGAAAAGGGGAAGTGGGAAGGGTAGGGGAAAGGTAATAAGGGAAAAGAAAAAAAATGTGAGAAAATGAAAAGATGGAAATAAGGTGTTTGTAAATGGGGAGGAGAGGAGGGGGTGAAGGGAGGGCAGGGACAAGGGGAAAAAATGAGAACCAAGACCTGTCATGTAGAGGTACAGGATCCCAACAATGAATGTAACTGTACTGTATCCCTAAAATGTACCAATAAACTCAATTTTAAAAAAAGGGCTCAGTCCTACCGACAGCACCCTCTGCCCCGCTCCCCACTCCACCCGCGCAGGAGACAGCTCAGGCTTCAGCTCACGCGACATGCAAAGTGGGGAAGGGTCTTGAAGCACAGACCCCGGAGCCACCCCGCAGCACCTCACCTTCTTGAGTTTCTTGGTTTTGACCTCCACCTCCTGCTGCAGGGACGTGTAGGTGCCACGGAGTTCCATGGTCTCCTCATCGCGGAGCAGCATCTCCTGCTGCATTTCCCGCTCCCGGCGTTTCTAGGACAAAGCAGGGCACGGAGACCCCGTGAGATGGCACCCGGGAGAGCGCGGGGCACCCGGGGTCTGCCGCTCTGCCGGCCGTGTGACCTGGCTTCTCCATGGTGCCAGGACAGATCCCGACTGGGGCGGCAGACTCGGAGCCCTCCCCTCAGTTTCCGAGGCTGGGTCTTTGCCAGGCCCTGTGCCATGAAGGGGAGCCCAGGCCCAGGCACCGCCAGGCTGCAGGAAGTCATTCCTGTGCGCCGGCCTCCCCGCCGGCCCCTCTCCCCACGCAGGTTACAGGTGACTGACTGGGAAGCAGCATTCCTGCTTTTGTGTGTTTTTGAGATGGGGTCTCGATTTATAGTCCAGGCTGGCCCTGCACTCACTATGCAGTCCAGGCTGGCCTCGAACCTGCGTGGTGAACCTCCTGCCTCGGCCCCCAGACTGCTGGGGTTACAGGGCACAACACCACGCCCAGCTTGTGTCTCTCAATGACTCAGGAAACAGTCATGCAGCTGGCAGTGGACCGGCTCCCTTGTGGAAGACGCAGGAGTCAGGGCCTGAGCCTGATGGGCTCATGTCCCTGAGAGCCGCGTTTCCTCCCACCCACAGTAGCAGTGCTCCTGCCCAAGGGAGGACCCAGGGTCCACAGTGCCACTCAGCACCACGGTTCCAAGGACCCCAAGTCTGGGCCTCATGCTCTGAGGAGCCTGGAGTACCTGCTCGGCAATCTCCTGCCTCTTCAGTTCCAGCATCTTCTGCTGCTCGTTGGTGTGATCCATGATGTTCCTGCCCCCTATGAGCAGCTTGCTCTCCATGGCCTGGGGACACAGGGGTGGTCAGAGGGGCTGCGAAGGGCTGGCATTCCCAGCTTGGGAGGTTTTGCTCCTCTGCTCTGGAGGGGCCTTTTTGGAGGGAGGGGAGAGGTGTCCCAGGTGGGGTCTTGCGGCATGGCCCTGGCGAGTATGGAGTTTTCTCCCACAAGAAATCCCTGGGGAACTGAGGGCACCTGATCTGCTGGCTTCGGACACAGAGCAATGGTTGGCTCCAGCCTGCCCGAGAGTGGGAGGCACTCTAACCTGTAACCTGGCCCCTGAGGTTCAGAAGCAGAGATCAGAGGCCTGGGCAGCCCAACCTGGGCGTAGCAGCTCCCAGCTCTGAAGACAGCTCTGCCTGGGAAGCAGGAAAGGGCTGCTCTTTGGCCCACGTGGAAAGCCAAAGGAAGAGGTTGTGCAGTGACAAGGGGCTTAGGGAGGCCCCAGAGGCAGCGGGAACTCTGCGGCAGCCTGAAGGGCATGGGCTGCACCCACTGGGTGTCTGTCGTATCGGAGCAAGGCAGCCTTCCTTCCAGGGTAACTCGGAAGCCCTTCCCAGAGTACCTTGAGGTGCTAAACCAAGTCCTAAACGGCAAGGCCTCCGTCCTACCCTGAGAGAGAGGAACTTTTCTCTCTGCATTTAACAAAAGAAGACACTGAGAACAATCAGCCTAAGGCCATGCAGCTAGAGAGTAACAAAGAGGTGAGATTTGAACCCAGCCCTGCATTCATTCTGAGAGGCCTCTGCTCTGTCAAGGCCCCAGTGAGCATGTGGCACTCAGTAGATGCTTTTGGAACAGGAAGTTGCAATGATAATGGACTTCTGCAGTTTTGTTTTTCTTTTCAGTACCTGGGATGGAACCCAGGACCTTCATACAGAGCTACATCTCTACAGTCTTTTTTCTTTTTTTTTTAGACAGGGACTTGCTAAGTTGCTAAGTAGTCCAGGCTAGGCTCATACTTAGAATTCTCCTGCCTCAGCCTCCCAGAGTGCTCCACACCTAGCTTGGATCTGTGTCAATTATGACTTCATAAAATGCACTGTCACTACTGCCAGTAAGAGGCTGGCAGCCTCGGAGCCAGCTGTCCTCTGATTTCATCGCAGGCTTCCCTCTTGGAAGGCCACCCTCACCTTGAAGCCCAGGAAGCGGCTGGCTGCCACCCCACTGGAATGCTTCCCAGGGGACCAGATGACTGCCCAAGGACTCTCATCTGGGGGCAGGGCAGGAGAGGGGTTCAGCGCCGAGTGAGGAGGGTGCAGGCAGATACCTCGCAAAGTCAGGATGGCGGAGAGGCAGGAGCCCCACGCCGGCCCCAGGGTCTCTGAGCGACTGGCTGTTCTCAGCGGCCTCATCACCTTATCATTTTTTTTCCCTTGTGGTACTGAGGGTTGAACTCAGGCCTCATACATGGGGGGCAAGTGTTCCACCACTGAGCTACAGCCCAGCCCTTTTTCTTTTCTGAGACAAAATTCCGTTATGGTGCCAGCTTGGCACCTGTGATCTTCCTGCCGCAGCCTCCCAGTAGCTGGGATTACAGGTGTGCCCCACCTTAGCCAGCTCTGACCTAAGGCATCCTGATGCTTTCTTGTTCCAAATTGGTATCTGCAGCCCTAAAGTAAGTGCCCCCTAAACTCTGGCATGTCGGGGACTTAGACAGCTGGCCATCACTAAGCCCATCAGGCATCTTCTCGGTGTGGCTCACAGCGCTCCTCCTTTTGTTCTCACTGATGGCTGCTAACTTCCCCGAAATCCTCATACCTTGCCTGGACCACCACTATGGTTCTCCCACTGCCTCAGTTTTCCCCCTCCACCTGTGCTGAAAAACACAAGCTTGAGTAGCTGCTCCGCAGTCCTCCACCCTACAGGAGGAAACTCCAGGTCTGCGGCTGCAACAGGTCCCAGGGTCTGGCCCCATCCATCTCCTGACCCTCACTCCCCACGAGCTCCATACCTTGCTCCCTCCCTGTGTCGAGACTTTCAACAGGAAAACGGCCCACCGGGAGCACCCTGGGAAATTCTCCCTGCTTCCCCTCAAAGCTGCTCTTTCCAGGCTCCTCAACAATCAGGACATATGCCCACTGTCTTCCCATAACAGAGTCATTACTTGTCTACACCCTGTCTCTCCTGTGTGTCCTTCAATGCAGGGATCGCGTCTCACTCATGCCTCAGGCTCCCAGGGACCATGGCAAGGGCTCAGGGAGTGTGTGATGAACCGAAGGGCACCTTGGGTAGTCCAGGGGGATTCTGGGTCTTCTCTGCAGGTTCTCCTGACTAGAACAGGCCCAGCTCTTTATGTGATCTTGTCCTCCTTCGATGGGGTAACCCCCATCCCTGTCCAGGAGGAGAGAAAGGAAGGACGCTGAGGAGGAAGCCGCCTTCTGCTGAGGAGACAAGGAATGGACGGCTTTAACTAGTGGGTAACTATGGGTCCCAGACTGGTCTCGAACTTGTGATCCATCAGCCCTGGCATCCTGAGTGGGATTAGAGGAACATGTCACAACACCCAGCTCTATTTTGTTTGAGTTAGCACACAGCCATTCTCAGACATTTTCATATGGTCTGCAGCTAGGTTTGTGCCTGTTATGGTTTGGACTTTTTTGAGACAGAGGGTCTCACCGTGTGGCCCAGACTGGCCTCGGACTCACAAGGGTGCTGTCTCGTCTCCTGAGTCCTGGGATCACAGGCATGCATGGCAATCGGTCACACCATGGCCACCACACTCAAGTGGACCGTCCAGACCAGGTCTGCCGGCTTCGGCGCCCACAGCCTTCCTATTGAAGTCACTGCGTCGAGCTGCTTTAAGAAGCAGGATGAGCTACAGGAAGCCATGGACATGCTTCCAGCAAGAGGAAGTCAGGTCTGACTAATCTGAGAGTTCTTCCAAACTGGGACGAAACAGGCTCCTGCAGCACACAGTGGCCAGAACCGTGGATGTTGAAATGCTCCTGGCCAGGCTGTACCTCAGAGGTGATGGGAGTTACTGGGAGGGGGTGAGGAGACGGGAAAGGCAGGAATGATTGGGCGTTTCTCCAGACGGAGTGATGCGCACTGTCAGATGCTGACCCCTGTGAGAAACCACCAGAAAGTGCACCAGTGAACAGACAACCTCACAATCCCCCAGATCCTGCTACATGACAAAGAACATGAACATTTCCAGGCTAGGTGGGCAAGCTTATGAGCCTGGAAAGAAAAAAAAAAAGCAGATGCATTTTCATTACCTTCTTACATTTTGGGGGAAAATATCCTAATTCCCATAAAAACAGACATGTGGATCAGTGGAACTGAACAGAAGAGTAGAAACAATCTCAGGTACATCCCACTATCTGATCTTTGACAAAGGTCCAAACACATACACTGGAGGAAAAGAGAGTCTCTTTAGCAAATGGTGCTGGGAAAACTGTCCGCATGCAGGAGACTGACTCCCTCACCATGCACTAAACTAAAGTCAACATCAAAGCTCTAAATGATGAAACAGAAACACTTAATCTGTTGGAAGATAAAATAAGTAAAACTCTTTAAGACATGAGCATAGGCAAGAACTTTCTGAACACAACCCCAATTGCACAAGAAATAACACCAAACGGGATCACATCAAATTATAAAGCTTCTGCATAGCAAAGGAAACAACCAACAGAGTGAAGAGACAACCTACAGAATGGGAACAATTTTTGCCAGCTACATCTCAAACAGAGGACTCATATTTAGAATACACAAAGAGCTTTAAAAAATTAGACCTCCATGGGCCGGGGATTTGGCTCAGTGGTTCTGGAGCCTGCCTCACAAGCACAAGGACCTGAGTTCAATCCCCAGTACCAAAAAACAAAAAAAAACAAAAAATTAGACCTTCAACAGGCCGGGGATTTAGCTCAGTGGTTTGGTGGCCTGCCTTGCAAGTACAAGGACCCGAGTTCAATCCCCGGCACAAAAAAAAAAAAAA